CTGCCTTGCCAGCCCGCTCAGAGATGTGTATAAGAGACAGTTACAAAATAACTCTAAAAGATGTGATCTTTTTTTATAAAATACATATCTGCAATCTGTTTTTACTTTTATTATGTTTTTATTAATTTAATATGGAATTTATCGCTTAAGCAACTTACACTATGATATGTGTCAACTTATCCGGCTATCGGGGTAAATTGGCTACATTGCAGCATGTTCGTATTTCACTTACTATAAAAAAACTATACAGTATACAGAATCGTTCCTGGCATGAAAATGTAGAGAAAGGTTCATTCTATCATATTAATATAGTTTAATCATAATAAATAGTTGTTTAGAAACAGGAATGTCTAAATTGTGAAAACTGTGCCAACGAGCCCCGGTCTCCCCTATAAAATGATAACTTTGAGGCTTCATAACTTGCCAACAAAGACTATGCTCCATTTGAAAGTTTCAGAGAATTAGTGTCTCATGGTTTACTATTATTTATCACCAAAATAAAGTCCGGAATCGAGGGTGAGAATACAGGGCATTTTTGGGGTCACTCTTTGCTTGTCAAAGACAAAAAACGTTGAATTTAAAATAAAATTTTAATTTAAAAATCGCTTTTTTCAATCTTATTAAACTAAATGAATTTATTAGAATCCATAGAGACACTCCCTCAATTGTCAAGAAGGAACGTGATTTATAAAATCAGATATAAGGATTGTGATGCTTCTTATGTGGGACAAACGGGTAGACAATTACATACTAGAATTTCCGAACATCTAAATCACATTAGTAGAAAAACGTCTACAAAAAAAAACGATCGGTTATTACGGAACATAGGTTGCATCACGGTCATGAGTTTGATTGGGATTGAGTGGAAATTTTGGATAACGAAGGATTTTATAAACGTCTTATATCAGAGATGTTACACATAAAATGTCAAAAAAAAGTTTGAATTTACAAACGGACACGGAGTTTCTCGACCATGCTTATTTATCTATTATTGATAACTTATAAACATTGTGCTTTGTTAACATATATTTTATCGTACTTGATCTATCTCACGGATTTTTACATACAAATTAATAACTGTGTCATTCGCTTTGCCATTCTATGAAGATCATACGTGCTTTCTGTCATATACAGTTTTATTTTAATTATTTATTATATAATTATTTTAAGAAAAATTTTTTATACGTTTTTATCATTGTGACCATGACATTATTTATTTTTTTTTAATTTGACGATGATTTATATACGCCGAGACGATATTCTATCTTTACGACAATGGTGAGTTATTTAGTTTTTAAGGCGATGCCGGAAGGTCCGAAAAATTTGCACGAGGTCGATAAAACAGTCTGTTCAATTTCAATGGTACCTCTAAATGAACTAATTCTTATATCTTCTGTCTCAGTCAAACACGTACATTGTCCTTATCTAACTTATTGAAACGCCATCTCTTGCATAATGTAACAGTTACTACTAGACGCAATTTTTGCTGTTTTTACCATTCCGTATTTTGGTTATGCGTATGAATTACCACAAATTGCAGTTCAGTGGATATCTTTTTTTCTACGCTTTCAATCGTAGCTCAAAAGGCTTTATTCGTTATTATTTGTTATTATTCGTTCATGTAATCTGTAGTGTTAGACGTAAGCATTTTGTACATATGAGCTACAAAACTTTACACTAATGAAATGTTTATGTTAGGGTTATGGTTAGGTGTCAGCTGTGCGACCCGAAAAAATGTAATTTTTTAATTTTTTTCCGATTTTATTATAAATTCGACCGTTCAACACCACATTTTCATGTCTATTTCAACCCTGTAAAAGGATTTTCAATTCCGTTCAGCCAATTCGGAGAAATCTACTAAACTGTAATGTGTCGGTATTTTCTACCTTCCGGCATCGCCTTAATTTAAATTGTTTAGTTAATTAAAATTCCTACTAAATTTATACATAATTTAAGAAATGCATTTTCAATCTGGCTTATCCCTTACGAAAAAATATGATTAGGAGGTAATGGTAACTATTGACACTCAATCATAACTATTGATTGACGAATAGTAACTATTGGGCCACCAATAGTAATGATTGAGTTGTCAAAGGTAACTATTGACGCTTAAAGAGTACGGTTGGAAGGACTAATGATTACTATTGAAACTCATAGTAACGATTGACGAACAAACGCAACTATTAGTTTATGAATAGTAACGATTGGAAAGACCATCAAGGGTTACGATTCAAACTTAGTTAAAATTTGTAACTCAATAGTAAAGATTGACAAACGGATGTAACCATTAGGTTATGAATAGTAACGATTGAAGAGACCAAGGGTTACAATTCGAACTTATTAGTCAAAATTTGTGACTCAATAGTAACGATTGACGAAAGAATGTAACCATTGGCTTATAAATAGTAATGAT